TGGTAAGGAACTTATCCCATTGGATGAGATGTATCTTTTATCATCATGAGTTGATAATGCAATCTTATTAAGCTCAATGGTTTGTTTAAAATCACTGTGGTTTTACTCATATGAATGCCTACTAAGTTTTCATTGTAAATGGTTCGGTCGATAAAGTTAGGCTTAGCAATAAATTTTGCAGCTATTTCCATTGTCAAAGTCCTAATGCCATCATTACAACTGTAGGCTAGCTTCCTTTTTTTATTTTGCATTCAACAGTAGTTTACTGCTCTACCGACTTGTTGCACAGTCAGTGAGCTCAGGTTTTCTTTCTAATTATCACACAGACTGAATACAACCGTTTGTACATCATACAGACAGATGGTCAAGTACTTCTCTGTACGGTACGTAGACACGTCAGTTAAGGGGGATAGTTTGAATTTGGAAATTGTTTAAAAGTACCAAATTTTAGATATAAACAACAATAAACACCAACGGTGGGTGAATCAAATAAACTCGATGTAGATTGCTTTGTTGAATAGAAGTTTGGTCTTACTCATATGTACAGCTGCCAGTTGTTCTGTATAAAAAAGAAAAGATGACCTTCCCAAAATCTCATTGTACACTGTTCGATCTATAAAGTTTGGTTTGGCAATCAATTTTTCAGCTATTTCCAATCTTACACTCGAGTCTCTATTTCTGACTTATTCCATTTACACTCGAGTTTAGTCAAACTTAACCTCGATCTCCATATTTTAATTCTCAGGTGTTTTGTAATGCCATCATTACAAACGAATCTTTTGTCGTCATGAGCTGACAACGAAATCTTGTTGACTTCCACACTGTACAACTTACTCTCATTCCTTCTGTTTTCTATAAATAAAGAATAAACAAAAGAAAGAAGCTATCCTACACTATAAGTGTAAACTAGTTTCCCATTCTTTTAAACACTCACAAATTACCTCAACAACCTACGTCACTACCCACATACGTCACAAGTGACGTATCACCGGAAACACCCGCATAAAACCCAACTGCAGTTTTGACTTATAATCCCAATCCTACGTCATACCACATACGTCACCCTCTCATGACGTATTCCATCACCTATGACGTCACAAAGTGACGTAGCACCGGAAGCCACCATTTCCGCCTGATGCCCTTTAAACTCAATTAATTCACAACATCTGCGCTGACAGCTGACAGCTGTTCGCGATAGGTCCACCAGTTCACCACTACTAAGGTGATCCCCTAGTTGGAAGGAAAGCAAATGAGGAGAGTTTCTTAAAGCCGATAATTGAATTCATTCTGTAAACAAATTTAAATCTTAGGGAAAATGTTCTGTGCGTATATATTTGGACCTACTCAAATCGTTATGTAATTGTTCCAAGCTTCTGTGTAGGATTACGAATAATTTATAAACCCTGGTTCAATTGTCAATATTTTAAACACTCAATTTAAATTTCCCAATACTTAATTTAGCAAATTTAAATGCAACACTAACCTGTTACCTTAAATTACCACTGTTTTCTTTGTATACAACTTGTTACTAAACAGTTATAAATAATGTAAACGGATTATTAGGAACATAATGTAGTACCATTTGAAACCATTGTCCATAGAATCAGCAAACGTCTAACACATAAATAACCTCTATCTTGTAAAAAGAGCTGAGAAGACATGCCAACACTATCTTATATTTACATCAGTTTTAAGGAGGCCAAAAAATGGTAATTTAACGAAGCTATAGTCTACTAAAGTTGTAATCTGAGCTGTACAAGGATAGCCATATTCACTAAACTGTTTTAATTTATTTTAAAGAGACTATACAATTAATTTGATATTGATCAGACAACATATGAATATATTTAAAAATAGTATTAAAAACAAAGAAATTGCTGTCACAAATCATTTTCAAACCAATATAATTTTTAATTGAAACTTCATGAGTCCAACTCTCTCCAACTCACTATAATCTATTTTTATAAAGTTTTAATTAATTATGTTCATGTTTTAGATCATTTCTAGAGCAAAAAAAAAACTACCTGGCACAACCGAGGAACAAATCAACCCTCCAGCCTTAAATAGGGATTTGCTGAGATCATCTCCAGAGGAAATGGGAATTCCTGGCACGTCCAAGGAACAAGTCCAAGCCTTAATCGGGGATTTGCTGAGATCATCTCCAGAGGAAATGGGAATTCCTGGCACGTCCAAGGAGTTACGCTCGTCACTGTAAGCCTTGAGTTTCCCGCCTGGTAAGATATGACATTTTAATTAAATTATATTTTATATGTAAACAAAATTATTTTGTTTTTGACCACGCAATGGATTAAATTTGTTAACTCTAATTTCGAGACCGATAATCTTTGCTAATGACCACCCTGACCCACGACCTTTGTAGTCATCTTCTTCCTTGATCAGCTTTTGAAAAACATCGCTACAAAATGTCTGTAAGTTTGTAGATTTGTAAATTGGCTCATTTTTAGTTTTAAAACAAAGTTCTTTTCGTTCTTTTTCCGATTCTTCCTTCACTTCTTCCGCACGTTCTTTCACATAAATCGACTTAACAATTACATTACACTTTAACGTCTTGAATTGTGTGATTTTTTCTTGTAGTTTATCGATCATAAAAGGTTTACAATAATCGAAAAAGCTTAAATAATCCAAATGATTCTGTAAATTTTTCATGAAATATGTGTTAAGGCGATTCTTAGCTGCCGATTCAATTTTTTTAACAGTTTAACCACAAACATTTTTTAAATGTTTTGGATTTTTATCATGTCTATCTTGTTCCCTATAACATAATTGACAATGTTTACAAAACTTTAGTTTGATAGTGCTCAAATAATTTTGCATTTTCACGAATAAGTTAGTAACATACACTTCACTGATAATGTTATTTTATTTGAAATTCACTCACTATACTTTCCGCCTATACCCTACATGTTTTCACTAAGTTAACTAGTTCACTGGTTCACTAGTTACCATTTTTAGCTGCCACCTTGCGTTTCGCTCGCTCAGACGACGTGTTTGGTCGAAGCTGAGGTTGGCACCCGCACTTATGATGGTGAGTGCTGACTCGTACTCGCCAAATTTTCCTTTTATCCAGTTGAGCTTTGTGCAGTAAGGCAGCTTCAATCTGAAGGTGAAGTCATCCCTTTTCACTATCTGAACAAATAACAAACTGCATTAAAATTTAAATATACACAGTTAATATTTCATGTTTATTTGGTTTTTATTATACAATATTAAGTTGTCATTATTCTTCTCACCCATATTTAATACTAGCAAAAATATTATTTTGTTGGGCATTTAATAGACAAAAATATTTGTACAAAATGAAACAGGACCTATACACTTTTAACATTTCTAATTTCGTTAAACCATTTCAAATTTAAAAACCATATATAAAAAACTAAAGTTGAAAAATATGATTTTATTATTTTCAAACTACTATATATGATAAAGCAATATAATCCTTCAAATCAGTACCATTTATTAAATGATAATTATTCTGTTAGATATCAAATGGAAAAACACTCATCTATTTAATACACAGTTATAAGTCTGCATAATATAAAACTAGATATTTTGTTGCTTATTAATTTTAATATCCTAAGCCAACATGAATATAGTTAAAGCAAAAGCTAAATACCTTCACCACAGCAAACCTGTAGATTAAGATATAGTTAAAAGTAGTTATTATTTAAATCCCATTATCAAGTGTTAAATTTTTATAGACAAAAGTTACGTTAAAGTATCAAAGCATTCAACACAACATAAAAATAGCTCCAAATTAAATTAATTTAAAACCACTACATAAAATCAAAAAGCTACAAATTTTCAACAATTAAGTAGAGTTGTTAATTAATCAAAATTAAAAAATAAATAAATCTTTAGCAGCAGATTAAGTTAAAAAAAATTAATGTGAGATAAGTTAATTTAGTTTTATATTCAAAGTTAAGTTACTATTTACCTCGATATTCCCCTAAGGGAAGGTGCTCTTGATGACTATGAAGAGGTCCTCCGCAGACTCCAAACCACTATCCTGGATGAAACTGATGTCCCAGGAGCTGGGTGTGGTGAGTGCTGACGAAGACATGGTTGCCAGCCTGGTGAAAATCGGAGATTGTATAGCCGAGCGAAAAGCGGGTGGGAGTAAGGTAATCGGCACTGTACAAAGTCCCTACGGTCACAGTATCACCACGTGCGGACATCGACGTCAGCACAGATCTCCGGGTCACTACACTCTCTCCTTCCATTCACTCAATCTTTACTTCGTTAAACATAGATACCGTCAGCTATAGTAAATATGATATATACCTATTTCGTTATCAAGCTATACCATTGGTCTAATAATGAATCTTAGTACAGGTACCGATGCTAGGTAGACTTGTAGTACACACAGATGAATGATGGATCGATTTCATTCGGCCCCCTCCCCTGAGTCACCTCAAGTACGACTCATTCTTCATTGGGGCCCATAAGGTAGTTAGGGGATTCTTCATCCGAACTATCCCAATACTCACTGAGGAATTCCTCACCAATAGCCCTCAACGTACTGCTTGAAACTGACTCCCCATCACTGTCCTCAGTATATTCTTCTCGATCATCCCCAGCTTCGCTCCTTACCTCGGCACTCTCATCAATGCCATCCTGCCCCTGAACCATCAGGTCTGATGAAGTGTTTGGATCCCCATGCCCTCCACTTCTGGCAAGACTGTTCGGCACCTCGTCGTCTGCCTCATCCTCTGTGCCGTCAGGAGAATTTCCTGCCTCCATTTCCTGCCTATATGTGTCAGTTTCTACTACTTCACTAGACATCTTGCTTTATAAGTAATATAAGATTCAAATTTTATACCTATGTCCTCCTTAATCTAACAGTAATATGCCTTGCTTATACGAAACAAACACACAACTATTATTCTACAGAAATCATTTCCTACAATTCTTATCATATAAGTGATAACAATCATTCAAGCTCATCAAAGTTTGTAGTGAGCACGGCAACGGCGACCAGGATGGTGACGATGTTGCCAAAACGCCCCACGATCGTTGGACCCCTGCCTCGTCTCGTTGTTGGTAGAGAGGGTAGATAGATTCCAACTAGGATGTAGCGGCGAACATCTTCTATCTTCTCGCTTCTTTCTTCTCTCTTCTATCTTCTAACGAGCGGGTCGGCACAGATAAAAAAATCAGTCTCTAGAGACGATAATGTCCGAACTATCCCGACGCTGCCGCCAATCGTACCGGTCGCGAGTAAAGTCCAAGGGTCTACAGGAGGTATCGCTGCCACCACTACTCTAATTAAGGGAGAGTAGGCCCTAATGACACAACGGAGATAAAAAGAGATGATAAATAATTACTCGGGATGATGAAAATAAAATAATAGTTTTGATGCTGAAAACTTGAACTTAAGGTTTATTCGAATATTATAGAACAATGTGTGTATAAATATATAGAGTGTGAGAAATGATTTGAACATTATGATGGGTGAAGCGCGATTACTACCTCGATGACCAGGTCTGCGTGCCCCCTCGCTATTTCAATACGTGGTCAACAAGTGAAAGTTGCTCGGTGATAAATGCAAGCGGGAGTTACACCGCCGTGTATAACGAGTCAAATTATATTGCATCGCCAGCATTGAATGCAAGCAGAAGAAAAAACACGGTGTACCACGGTGATAAATGCAAGCGAAAGTGACAACACTGACAACTGACATTATGCAACACTGCAACGGTGCAAGACGTCGCATGACAATCTATCTTACACAATACTATGAGTTATTTTTGAGTAGTTTTTTTTATTAGAAATCGCGTCAATTGGGATTGTGGTATTTTATTCAAATAATTGAAACCATGGATTAATTTATGATTCAATTTCGAACACCTTTGATTGAGATTAAAATTAATCCATCTTTGAATATCGAGCATTTTAATTCGTTTTAGCGAATTTCCCTATAGGGAAGTAGCTATTACCGTAGGTGGCACGGTAAGACCTAGACCCGGGACCGATTTACTTTTTCATTTTGATGTCCCCAGAGGCCAAAAACACCATTCGTTCAAATTTTTATATATGTATATATATATATATATATATATATATAGACTTATATATATATACGTCCGTGAACGCGATAACTTGAGTAATTTTTGTCCGATTTTGATGAAATTTGGTTTAAAGGTGTAAAGCGGGATAAACTTGAATGAGTTCGCGAACCAGCACGATCGGACCATGGGAACGGGGCTTTACGGGGGGTTTTATGGGGTAAAAATTGGTTTTTCTCACTTTTGACCCTCAAAACACAAAATTTCCCGATTTCTCTTTAGACCTTTTTAAAGAGCTTAAAAAAACAAATAATTTAGTATATAAAATTATTTTTGTTCGGTTATTAGTAACGGAGAAAATTAAAAAAATTGTAAATTTAAAATTCCCATGTTATTCTTATGGAGAATATTGTCAAATGTTTTAGTTTGCTTGTTTATGGATATATTTTGATCAAACTTGGCAAATTTATTTATTTTGTACTAAGCTATCAATATTTTACTCAAAAACACACTTTATTAGTTTCCTTGTAGCAGCAAACCTAGGTACTCGTTAAACCTAATGTTATTAAAATATATTTAACTGAAAATCAATTCAGACAAATGGAAATTCGCTTAGTCGGCAGGTTTGCTGCGGCGGGGGTATTTTTATTTAAGACCGATTTTACGGTATTATAACCCATTCTACTAATTAACAGGTTTTATTCTATGTCAATTTAATGCCTAGTAATCGTGTAGTAAGTTTTAAAGCTCTCCCTACTAATTTTGAAATATTTAATCTCACGGGGTTTTATTTCAACCATGTATAGTTTAGACCTACTTATATCAGTATAACTAGTAAATCGTAGCTAGTGTCACCAACATGAACTAGACATGAAAGAAAAGAAGCTCCAACATTTTTATATCGGCATATTAAGGAAGTCTAATTTCAACTGCTGCTCAAAGGTATGTGAAATTGCCAAAGTAAATAGCACAAACTAATTCCTTGATACGCACCAGCTCACCTTGATTGCCGGTATTTGCAGTGATTGCCATGTGATGAAACATGTTCTTAAAATCTTTTATGTACTGCGTTATTAGTCGATCAGCAGCTGGTTTACAGACAGAACATTAATTCAAATATTCAATAATACTCTCAGAGTATGTCACCAACTTGTTCCATTCCTCTCGAGCCATTGTAATTTCCGGTCTAGGTTTTTCCTCAATAGAGTTGAATAGAGCATCTAAAACGGGGTCTTCCCAGTCCAATGACTGTGCGAGATGGTTTTTATAGCGTTGGATAGGAAGTGTTGGTTCAGGATTGCATGATAGTAGAATCTTTATGTTTTCTGTGTAGAGCGGGGAGAAACCGGACGGACTCATCAAGTATTTTTCGAAAATACATGATTGAGTTCAAACATTCTCATTCTGGGGCAATTTGTACCTGTATCTACAATTTATTGTCTACAATTTCTTGTCCAAAATGTACATTGTAGGATCAAAAGATTCTCCTTCATTCTCTAGTCTCTAGTTAAGAAAGAACTCGTCACAAAATTGATCCAAATCTGTTGATTCAAACACCGCCTCATTACGGGTTTTAAAAGTTAACTCTTTCCTATCTTTCAGGATACCATCTTTCACATAGACAGATTTTAAAATAAAATTACATTTCACTGCCTTACATGTAGCAAGCTTTTCCTTTAGTTTATCAATGATAAACGGTTTACAATGGTCAAAAAGCCGACATAGTATAAAATATCAAGTCCATTTTTTAGAAAAAATGTCTGTAGTCTGCATTTAGCAGCGCTTTCAGTTTCAACTATTGGGCAAAACCCATATAGCTTAGTAAAATGTTCAAGGCTTTTTAAATGTGCATCACTTTCGCGGTACCACAAATCACAAACCGTGCAACGTTTGCACTTTATAGTTGAAATGTATGACTGCATTTTTGAATTAGTCTTTTTTTTCTTCTTACCTAACACTTTCAAGGGTAGAAAATACTAGTCTCATTTTCCACAATTAACTTTTATTAATTTTCACTTTAACTACAGTTCACTACTATTTACTAAGCAGTTTTCTTTGGTTGTAATGATTTAAGCCTTGGGTCTGATGTGTTGTAATGAAGTGCAGTGTTGTGTTTCTTATTACAATGCTTACATCCTCTAGAATTGCAATGTTCTATGCGATGGAAACCATCCTGTGTATCAATGCAGCGAACTTATTAAGGCTTCTCATGAAGAACGATTAAGCAAATTGACAGCAGCAAAACTCTGTTTTAATTGCTTAAAACCGGGCCATCGCGTAGAACATTGCAATTCTAGAGGATGTAAGCATTGTAATAAGAAACACAACACTGCACTTCATTACAACACATCAGACCCAAGGCTTAAATCATTACAACCAAAGAAAACTGCTACATTTAACAACAAGCAGGGAAGTAGTGATGACGCATTAAATACCAGTACTACTACAACAAGTCTAAGTACTAATTTCCAAGGTGGAGAGGTTTTATTATCTACAGCATTGGTGGATGTTATAAGTCCGAGTGGAATTAAATACACGTGCAGGGCATTCTTAGACAATGGCAGCCAATCTAACTTCATGACAGAAAATCTCTGCCAAAGGTTAAAACTAAAGAAAGAAAATTCAAATGTATTAGTAACAGGTATTAACGAAGGAACAACTAAAACTACAAACAAGGTACAAGCAACATTTCAGTCAAGAAATTCTAATTACAAAGCAACTGCAACATTTTTGGTTCTTCCTAAAATAACAGGGTTACTTCCAACACACACTGTTAATACAAGTCAATGGGATATCCCTGGAAATATCACTTTGGCAGATCCCACATTCTGCAAACCATCTAAAGTTGATATTTTGTTAGGACAAGAGTTTTTCTTTGATCTTTTGGAAGATGGAAGGATAAAGAATCAAAATTCACCAGTACTTCAGAACACAAAGCTCGGCTGGATAGTTGGAGGCAAAGTACATCATCAAAAGTCATCAACTAAAACGTCTTGTCATCTAACTACACTGGAAAGCCTTGATAAGAATATTCAAGCATTCTGGAAAATTGAAGAAGAACCTATAAAAAAGGCGACAATGACATCAGAAAATAAACTATGTGAAGAAATGTATGACAATTCAGTTCAAAGAGGCGATGATGGGCGCTACACTGTCAAAATGCCTCTGAAGCAAGATCCAAGTTCCCTAGGAGATTCCAAAGAATTAGCAATCAAACGATTTTATCAAGTTGAAAGACGATTAAAAAATAACAGTGAACTGCAAAAACAATACAAATCCTTCATGCATGAATATGAGGAACTTGGACACATGGAAAAGGTTACTGCAAATGATACTGACAAACCAGTGTATTATTTACCCCACCATCCAGTTATTAAGGAAGCCAGTTCAACAACTAAATTAAGAGTAGTTTTCGATGCTTCAGCAAAAACTACAACAGGGATATCTCTGAATGACTCGCTTATGGTTGGTCCGACTCTTCAAGATGATTTATTTTCTATCCTATTGAGATTCAGGATTCACATTTACGTTCTGACAGCAGACATAGAGAAGATGTATCGACAAATCTGGATCCATCCAAGTCAACGAGACATGCTAAGAATCCTTTGGAGAGAAGACAACTCAAAACCTGTCCTCATTTACAGGCTCAATACAGTTACGTATGGAACAGCATGTGCTCCTTACTTAGCAATCAAAACTATTCAACAATTGGCTCAAGATGAAAGATCACAATATCCACAAGCTTCCAATGTAGTGATGAAAGACTTTTATGTGGATGATGTATTGACAGGAACAGACGACATTAATGAAGCAAGGGTATTAAGAGATCAACTGGTCGGTATGTTAAAGTGTGGTGGCTTCAATTTGCGAAAGTTTAACAGCAACAGTAACGCGCTTTTAGCAGATCTTCCAGATGATATGGTGGAAAGAAAAGCACATAAACTTCCCAACTCTAATGATAGCACAATCAAGACCTTAGGCATTTTTTGGGATGCAGAATCTGACAAAATAAAGTACAAGTATTTTGTTGATAAAGTACAATGTTATCAACAGACAATAAGGCAGCTTCTACAAGTGTAACAAAGCGAACTGTGCTCTCAGACATAGCAAAACTGTTTGATCCTTTAGGAATCATTTCTCCAATTATAATAAATGCTAAAATACTCATGCAAGACCTGTGGAAACAAAATATGAAATGGGACGATGTACTCCCAGAACAATTACACAAGAGATGGCTACAATTCAAACAGGATTTAACTTTGCTCAGCAATTTTAATGTATCAAGATGTGTAAGAATGATCCAAACAGAGGGAACTTTTGAACTTCATGGTTTTTCAGATGCTTCTGAAAAGGCATATGGAGCAGCAATTTACTTGAGACACGAACTAAGCGATGGAACTGCTAAAACTACTCTTCTCTGTTCAAAATCTCGTGTAACACCACTGAAAACACAGTCACTTCCAAGATTGGAATTATGTGGAGCTCTACTCCTAACTGAGTTAATGTCAAATGTCAAAACCGCTCTTATCAACAAACATATTGAAAGGGTTACATACTGGACGGACTCTACAATTGTTTTATCCTGGTTAAATGCAGAAGCAGCATGCTGGAAAACATTCATTGCAAATCGTATTGCAAAGATCCAGGATCTAAGTGATTATAAAGATTGGAGACATGTGCCAAGTCAAGACAACCCCGCAGATCTCGTATCCAGAGGTTTAACAGTCGACGAAATCATAAGATCTGATTTGTGGAATTCAGGGCCATATTGGTTATCGTTAGAACCTTGCAACTGGCCAATTACTTCCATAACACCTTCAACTGACATTCCAGAAAGAAGAAAGTCCACAGTTTCTGCTGCAATAGTTCAATCAAATGAAAAACAAACAGATAATGACTATATACTGAAGAAGTTTTCCAAGTTACAGAAACTGATTCGTGTCACCGCATATTGTTTGAGATTTATACAAAATTGTAAAACTCAAGATTCAAAGATTGCAGGACCTCTAACACACGATGGATTGAACCACAGTCTTAAGCATTGGATAAAACATGAACAGAAACGTTTCTTTCCTCAAGAACTACAATCATTGTCAAACTCAAAACAAATTCACAAGAAAAGCAAACTAATAACACTTCATCCATTTAAGGATGATGAAGGAATCATTCGAGTAGGCGGTCGACTAGCCAACGCAAAGTTAGATCAAAGTCAAAAACACCAAATTGTATTGCCTGCTAAATCCTATTTCACTCATTTAATAATTGAAAATGAACATATTCGCAATCTCCATGTGGGTCCTCAAACACTTCTATACATCATAAGAAAACAATATTGGCCACTAAATGCCAAGAACATTATAAGGAAAATCATCCATAAGTGCATACCATGTTTTAAAACAAAGCCGAAATGCACACAACCTGAAATGGGAAACTTACCTGCACATGGAACGAATCCATCACAGCCTTTTGAGATTACAGGAGTTGATTATTGCGGACCGATATATTTACGGTCAAACCGCCTTCGAAAGTTTTCATTAATTAAGGGCTACATTGCAGTCTTTGTTTGCTTTACCACAAAGGCTATTCATTTGGAATTAGTATCCAACTTAACAACTGACGGCTTTTTAGCAGCATTCAAGCGCTTTACATCTCGAAGAGGCTTATGTAACCACATATATTCCGATAACGGAACAAACTTTGTTGGAGCCAATAACGAAATAAAGGAACTTTACTCCCTTCTTAAAATTAATGATCATCAAGAACAAATCATAAATGCTACATCTTTTCAAGGCATCAAATGGCATTTCTCGCCTCCAAATTCACCCCATTTTGGAGGGCTTTGTGAATCCGCAGTTAAGTCCGTAAAGCAGCATTTAAGGAAGGTTGTGGGAAACGCCAATCTCACATTTGAAGACATGTATACTGTGCTTACAATGATAGAGGCGTGCCTGAATTCAAGACCTCTAACTCCTCTGTCATATGATCCTAATGATCCCCTTCCTCTAACACCTGGTCACTTCTTAATTGGGAAAGCACTTACAAGTTTACCAGATCCAGATTATACATTTAAGCCAGAAAATCGTCTATCACAGTGGCAACGATTACAACAGCTTATGCAACACTTCTGGCGCCGTTGGTCCAAGGAATACCTCTCTCAATTACAACAAAGGCAAAAGTGGTTCACGACTGCCAATAATATCAAACCTGGTCAACTAGTCATAATCAAAGATGACAATCTACCACCTTTAAAATGGATTACTGCTATTGTTGAAGATGTTCATCCTGGACTTGATGGAAAAACTAGAGTGGCTACAGTGCGAACCTCTACAGGAACATTAAAGAGATCTGTAAATCGCCTGTGTGTATTACCAATTGAAAATTGAAAAGGCCAAACACAATCGATAAGACATTTTTTGTAAATAGTTTATTTTTTGTATTTTGTTGAAAGTGGTACTTTCAAGGTGGGCGGCATGTTCAATCTCCTAACAGACTGTTTGTAAATTAACATATGATTGAATTTATATTTGTAAAAACACAAACAAAAACAGTAGGTATTGTATTTTTTAAAGTTTTACAAGCAAGTCATAAGTTAAATAAAGTTTCATTTTTTATATGATTTCATGCAGTTTTCTAATACAAACAATGTTGGAACGCCAACCTCCTGGTCTGAGCCATCGTCAAATCCGCCCCGGAACACACCACGGTGACGGCCGCAGCGAACACTCCAAACTTGCAGATTATCGATGCATGTTTTGTACAGTAGGGGAGCTTGACCCGGTAGGTAATTTCATCCCGCTTAGTGATCTAGACAAAACAGAAAAAATAGCTTTATTACATTTAAAAAACAATAAAACAGCTCAATAAATAATATTTTGATATGTACATAAACTTTTTTCATACAGTAATAAACTTGATCAAATCGTGAAAGCGGTTAGTAAAACAAATCATTCCCCATTTAAATTAATTGAAGTTTTTTTACTATATTTAAACATAAATAAGTATCAAGTGGGCTATGTGTTTAATTAAACTTTTGAATATGGATAAATATTTGTCAAACATTAAAACAGTTTTAATAAATATTATTGTGATTTATGCATGAAGTAATAATGAACTTTATCAACTCATATTTTATATATATATTAAAAGAAAAGTCATTTTAAAATAGTATGTTTTAAAATATTAATAGTTAATACATTATGAAAACAGCTAGTAAAAGAATTCAATCTCCATTTAAATCAAATTAATTGAGGTTTGTTAACCATACCCGAACAGAAATAAACATCAAGTGGATTATGTATACATTTTAACTTTTCAATATGGATAAATAAACATATGATTGATGAGTATACTCTCACGATTATATCTATATATAAAGTCAGAAGTATCTATGAACTTTTTGAGAAAACTATAAGTCGCACCCTCATAAACCATATACTTAAAATGTTCGTCATAACAAGAAACCTTACACAAAACTATATTATATCCATTATATCTTAAATTACCTTATAAGGTCGCAATTACTTTCTAAAGATAACTTTCCATATGCCTAGTATTAAAAATACCTCAGCTGTATTCATCTATATGTTTTTCTTTTAATTTATTTATTAAAATCAGGTCAGATTATATTTTGTTTATATTGTTATATTATGTTTTGCTTACTTCAGCTTAAATTAACAAATCAATAGTTTTATTAATACTTATGAAGTTAAATGGGGTAAAGCCCGTGAGTAGCAACTAGTTTATGTTAAAATCCTTTATCAGCTTCAATATGAGCAAACTAAAATCAATATATAATATTATTAGTAAATATTTTTAGTAAATAGAAAATTTAAATTATTAAAATAATATGTTTTAGTTTAATACAAAAAATGGTTTACAATTCATATTAAATGAGATGTAATATTAACTAATCCAAGTATGTACTTACATAATTGAATACCAAATAATATTATTAGGTGTAGAACTACTATTGTTATTTCACAGAGTTGGATTTCTTTCAAAAAAGCATTTACAAGTTAATAAAAAGATAATATAGGTAAAAAACAATTAATTGTTTAGTTTACAGACAAAAATCAGAACAGCTTAATAGTTTAGGGATAAAATCTTCTTATAAAACTCGGATATTAAAAATTTATTAGTTAAAAGTTCGAAACTAGGATATACTACACATACCTCGATATTTCCTTGGGGAAAAATACTCTTTAAGATTATGTAAAGGTCGTCAGCGCACTCGATCCCAGCTCCCTCAACGTAGCTGATGTCCCGGACTGAAGGAGTAGTCAACGCAGTTGAAGCCATCGTGGTGCTGTAGTGGGACTGATGGAGCCCGATAAGAATATCGAAGTATATATACCCGGACGCGGAGGTCGCACGAGGTCGTTGCTCGATGGACTGAACTAGCACATGCGGACGGTAGCTGACACGTGGGTATCAGCATCACCCAGTCACGTGGACGAGTGCGCAGAACAGTATCAGCCAAGATACGAGTGCACGTCCTCACTACATGAAATTTAGCAATCAAAAATTTCCATTAATCTAAATTTAAATGTGGAGTAGGACATTTTAAAAATAACAATACTATATATCTCAAACATATTTAATACGCGTTATTACCTTTAAAACCATCCTCTTAAAGAATAAAACCGGAATATGTATTACCATCTTAGCTCACATATTTAACTATCCTACACTAAATAATTTAATATTGGTATTTAGCAAATAAACTAACTTGTTATAAAACAATGGTTAATTTTATGTTAACCTTTGATTTATGATTTCCCATATAAAACAATAATAAACATTCTACCATAAGAATTAAATTATATTTACTCACAATGGTGTGTTAAAATTATTATGTTTACCTAATATACTTATTAAAAGCAGATGATAATACAACATTTTGTATACACTACTCAACAATAAAAATATATATAGCTATAACATTATATGTTGTTCATTACTTCTGTTTCATACATGATTCAGTTAAATAAAGCCTCTAATTTATAAATTCTTAAGTCAATAGTTTTCACATCAGTTTATAAAAAATAATAGTGAACATTATACTACTTTTTTACACATTA